TAATTTATTTAAAATTATATTACAATTATAAACTCTTTCTAATATATAATAGGGACTCAAATACAATCATCACATCAAGAAAAACTTAACACCATAATCATATTTAAATATACAATTACAAGACTTGTAAGCATAATGTATAACAACCTTGAAGTAATTTTAACGAATGTTCATCCCATTTCTATTATTTCAACAACATAGCACAAAAAGAAGAAGAAGAAGAAGAACGCACAGCGCAAACTCTATCAGCAACAAGTTTGAGATTTGATGTACCTACAATTGCAGACAACTAAATATCTATGTTCTAAAACATGCAACAACAGTCTTCTAAGAATTCATTTCCTGTAACTTTTGCTGTTGCAGATAGTTCACCACAGTTTTGATATACTCGTCTATGAGTTTGGCGAATTCCTTTACAACTTGCGTGCCATCAAAATCTTTAACTATCTCGTAGATTATGGTGGTCTTTGTCAAGGTTTTGTCTTCTCCCAAGTCATCAAGCTTGAAGGAGACGTTATAGTAAGCAAACCCTAACTCCAAAAGCCCTCCATCTATCGCCTGGAAGCTCACTGCATGGCTGGTTTCATCATATTTCACCATTTTCTCCTTGAAAGGTGAAAGAGGAGGTGTGGCTATAATGAAGGAGCATGTTCATCGAATTAAAACAAATACAAAAATAATTAGAAATAAGAGATTTTAGTGTGTTTATAAATGCTCAAGCCGGACGAAACAAATCTTCTTATGTGAGACAAATGACCAAAAATTTTGTTGGATTAGTTTTATGCTTGTCAAGAAGATTCTCAGTCGCGTCTAAAATTTTAATATTTTAATGTATCATTTTTTATGTAAAATTATGGTGTGCATCAGAAATGTATTAGCACAAATCTCAAGAAGAAATAGTAAATTAAGAGAAAGGAGAGTACGACAGGGATAACCTGCAGAAGTAAGACCAAATGGTCCATCACCTGATAATCAAAGATTTCTTTGACGAATTACATATCCCTTTAGTCTACACCTGAAGCCAGCTGAATGAAGGTCGTCCAGGCCAATGACGAAGATCCAGCACTTGCCCTAGGATTGTTAGCCATCTTATAAGAACCTCTGAGACTCTTCACCAAGAGGATAAAGGTTCTCCCAATTCCATACTCCACAAACACACCAAAGGATTTTTCATCAAGGGGTCAACTACATATCAGATTATCGTTATTCACCTTCTGCCAAACAGTCTAGTTTCATCCTGGCAACAAGAGCTCCTCGCCTAGGAGCACATAGTCCACAGCTAGTTCAATGCAACCTACCAATTGACTCAAGAACACTTAGCCAAATCTGAATGACTGAAGTACAACAAGAGCTGATTGACTGTCCCAACTCAACGTAGTTGGTCGAAGGAGAATAGCCCCCCCTCCCCCCTAAAAACCATCAATCTCAATCGATTGAGTGATAAAGTAGCTGAGTCATAATCTCATTATCTAAATGCCCAAAATACCATATAATGTCATCACTAAAGTAGGGGCAAACAAGTAAATATACACATGGTACCCTCCACTCCTATAAATAGTGTGGTTATTTCAATAGTAAATGTTAATCAATAAAAATTCCCTCATTCATGTATTCATTATTGTGCTCTCTCTCTCTCTTCCTTCTCACTTTCATGTTCTACACTTTATTCCATGGTTGTGATTCACAAGATAAACTCAGATTCATCATCCTAATGGTGCAATAGCGTGAATCATGCTAGCAACTGAAATAGGAGCACCACAAGGAGAGAAACCCACCAAACAGACAGTAAAAATATGGAGTACACTAAAGAGTTTGGACAACAATATTTCCAATTGTTCAAAGACTGGATGATGGGTTGGTTAGATGTTGAAGGCCATACGAGAACCCCTGAAGCAACAAAAAGGGGATGGAAGAACCCCTAGGAGGAAGCACATGTGCACAATAGATGAAGTGTGACTCAAGGCATCGATAGAGTACGAGAGTCATGGTATCATGATGATGTTGATACTATGAAGATGGATATACGATGATTCGGGCATATTGAGGTGCTCCATCAGCTAGAGAAAGTCTTCTCTGGACAACTTTTTGATGCTAAGCCACCTAGGAGAAAATCAAACCATTCTTTGGGGCCATATAAGGCTTAGGCTAATCTTGATGAGCATATTGTATCCATTTTCGTGACATTTTGATTCTTTGAAGTGTCGTTTATTCTTCTTCACCCCAAGGGATTTAGGCCTTAAGTGGTTCATTTAACTATCGATTAGAGTGATCTTATCTTTTACTGAATCCATGAGAATATATGTGGCACATTTTTTGAGTTCCCAAAAATCTTAGAAGATTACAAAAGCCTTACTACATATCAAGTAGAGGTAAAACAAGAGCCTTCTCCCATTTATCACTTATTTGTAGAGGGAGATGAAATAAGTGTGGGATCTGAAACCTATGGTAGAAGCCACCCAAGATCAGAGGATGAAGGATCCCTTCCATTATGATCTTGGTCTCTAGTTACAAGAGACCTTAGGGTAAATGTTAGAGCTAGCCAAATATCATAATTCAGCCAAAGAATATAACTCCACCACTACATCTAATGGGATAGAATTAGACACTAATTATCTGTAGAAAAGTGCCCTTAAGGATGACAAGTAGAGACTAAGGGAAGACTTGCATCCTTCTGCTTGACCAGAAAATGAAGGCAATTGGTCACCTTGGGACAACAAGGAGGTTCATAGAAACCACAATGAAGGAGGTCAGTCACAGTAACCTGACTAAAGGTCGACACATTATCATGAGTTAGTTTTAAATAATCACGAGACCCCAAAGTCCACTTCACTAAGATTCTTAATGACAAAGTTACTGGATATAATTTAAATTAAATAATAATTTAAGAAAGCACCACTCATGAGAATTTGAGCTTTTCTTCAAAACACAAACAAGTATTGTCCCTACCATTGGGACCATGGCCATGAGACAGAAGATAGCATACACCTCTGAAGCCTAGTTGATTAGTTTATAGGAGCAGGAAATCTCAAGAAATGCGTGATGTTAAGAGAAATGACTTAACGACAGGGGAATGCTCTGGTAGAGGAAATCCTGAATGAGCTTGTTTGAGCAAATATCCTTTACATTGCTAGAATTTTACCAGGTATTTTTAGAGGTGGATAATCATCCTAGTTCGTAAGTCAGAAGTGTAAATCCTACTGAGTAACAAGAGTTCCTCTCCTAGGAGTACATAGTCCACAATTGGTTCAATGCAACCTACCAATTGACTCAAGAACACTTAGCCAAATCTAAATGATGGAAATACAACAAGCGCTGATTGACTGTCCCAACTCAAAGTAGTTGGTCGAAGGAGAATAGCCCCCTCTAAAAACCATCAGTCTCAATCGATTGAGTGATAAAGTAGCTGAGTCATAATCTCATTTATCTAAATACCTAAAATACCATATAATTTCATCATTAAAGTAGGGGAAAAAAAGTAAATATACACATGGTACCCTCAGCTCCTATAAATAGTGTGGTTATTTCTATAGTAAATGCTAATAAAAAAATTCCCTTATTATTGTATTCATTATTGTGCTCTCTTTCTCTGTGTCTCCTTCTCACTTTCATGTTCTACACTATATTAATTGGTTGTGATTCACAAGATAAACTCAGATTCATCATCCTAAAGGTGCAGTAGCGTGAATCATACTAGCAACTGAAATAGGAGCACCACAAGGAGAGAAACCCACCAAACAGACAGTAAAAATATGGAGTGCACTAGAGAGTTTGTACAACAATATTTCTAATTGTTCAAAAACTGGATGATGGGTGGGTTAGATGTTGGAGGCCATACGACAACCCCTGTGAGGAAGCACAGTTGCACAATAGCTGAAGTGCAACTCAAGGCATCGATAAAGTAGGAGAGTCACAATATCATGATGATGTTGATTCTATAAAGATGGATAGACAATTCGTGCATATTGAGGTGATCCATAAACCAGAGAAAGCCTTCTCTTGACAAATTTTTTATGCTGAGCCTCCTAAAAGAAAATCAAACCCTTCTTTGGGGCCATATAAGGCTCAGGCTAATCTTGATGACCATGTTGTGTCCATTGTCGTGACATTTTGATGCTTTGAAGTGTCGCTTATTCTTTGTCACCCCAAGGGATTTAGGCCTCAAGTGGTTCATTTAACAATTGGCTAGAGTGATCACATCTTTTACTGAATCCAGGAGAATATATGTGGCACATTTTTGGAGTTCCCACAAATCTTAGAAGATTACAAAAGCCTTACAACATATCAAATAGAGTTAAAACAAGAGCCTTCTCTCATTTATCACTTATTTGTAGAAGGAGATGAAATAAGTGTGGGATCTAGAACCTGTTGTAGAAGCTACACAAGTTAGGGGACGAAGGATCCCTTCCATTATGATCTTGGTCTCTAGTTACAAGAGACCTTAGGGTAAATGTTAGAGCTAGCCAAATATCATAATTCAGCCAAAGAATATAACTCCACCACTGCATCTAATGGGATAGAATTAGCCACTCATTATCTATAGAAAGTGCCTTTTAAGGATGACAAGTAGAGACTAAGGGAAGAATTATATCCTTCTTCTTGACAAGAAAATGAAGGCAATTGGTCACCTTGGGACAACAAGGAGGTTCATAGAAACCACAACGAAGGAGGTCAGTCACAGTAACCTGACTAAACGTTGACACATTATCATGAGCAAGTATTGAATAATCACGAGACCCTAATGCCCACTTCACTAAGAGTCTTAATGACAATGTTACTAGATACAATTTAAATTAAATAATAATTTAAGAAAGCACCACTAATGAGAATTTGAGCTTTTCTTCAAAACACAAACAAGTATTGTCCCTACCATTGAGACCATGGCCATGAGACGAAAGATAGCATACACTTCTGAAGCTTAGTCGATTAGTTTATAGGAGCAGGAAATCTCAACAAATGTGTGATGTTAAGAGAAATTACTTAACGATAAGGGAATGCTCTGGTTGAGAAAATCCTGAATGAGCTAGTTTGAGCAAGTATCCTTTACATTTCTTGATTTTTACCAGGTATTTTTAGAGGTAGATAATAAAATATCACATTGCTTGATTTTTACCAGGTATTTTTAGAGGTAGATAATCATCTTAGTGAGTAAGTCAGAAGAGTAAATCCTAGTGAGTAAGCTAGAAGAGGCCTTAGTTAAGAGAACTGTGTATAATTGTCATGCCATCAAATTGCAACACCCATCCACCTATGACTTTCACCAATGCAGACTTGCCCCAAGGAAAAGTCCATACATTGATGCCATCACTTATGTAGTAATGATTGGAAAGTATCAGATATGTAGTATTTTGGTCAACTTTAACAACTCCAAGAATATTATGCTCAAGTCCGTGTTCCATAAAATGAACCTCCCAACCATCCGGCTAGCCAACTCTAGCACCGGCTAGCCAACTCTATAACTTTTATGGTAAGAAGAATGAGGCCGTGAGAGTAGTTGAACTATCCCAACTCTATAACTTTTATGATAAGAAGAATGAGGCCGTGAGAGTAGTTGAACTATCAATAACTTAGGGAGAAGTTAAGAATTAATTCACATATATAGAGGAGTACTTCGTGTGGTAGATTTGTCAACAAA